TTTTTGTTTTTTTTTCCCCTCCCCGAGACGCGTTGTGTTATTGTTTGTATATAAAAACAAAGTGTTTATAAAGTCTATGTCGAAGAAATTAACACCGCACTGACGGAAAAACCCGAGGTGCGGCGGTTTTTCCGAACATGACGTCACGCACCCGCCGAGTGTCTGCTAGTGCAGTTTCTAATTCTAACCACTAGGTGTCACTCGGACACAATGATGCTGCACCGATAGGGAGGCTCGATCTGTACAGTAACTATCGCTTAATATTTGGACTCAGCGGCAAAAACCAGTGTAAAAGCAGGACTAAGGACATTATAACGAACCACGAGTTGAGCCAGAGAGAACACGTTGTTCATAACTAAGAGCATACAAAATTGGTTTTGAGAATTTTAAAGATACTGCGGCTTTAAAGAGAGCTAAGCTCCTCAGGCAGGTCATTCTGCAGTCTCATCAAACACAGCAGCAGAATTCAGGAAGTAGTTATGAATCAGTAATATAAAAATAAAATATAATAAACTAGACAACCTTTGACCAAGAGTTCAAATCCTTAGATTGGTGAATTATTGACTTGAACTGAAGGAGCTGGCGAACCAACCCATACAGAGAGTTTAAAGTGCTTTCATCATTGGCAGGAATATCATGAGGTACTATAATGTGATACATGTACTATCATATACCTTAGGTACACTAAAAATAACAGCAACTGCAGACATTAAAGCCGATCATTTTGAACAGGAGCAGGATTTCCACGTTCAAACACGGTTCAGATCTTCCAGGATCTAATCCAGAGGACTATGGAATCATATTATTTAAACTCATACAAGCAGATACACGTTTTCATGGTTTATAGGTACTGAATATGTCTTGACATTTGATGTAGATGCAACTTTCAGTCTGATAATGTGTACTGAAAGTCAGTTCTCATCCAAGGATTACACAGTAACGGGGACAACAGTCTGACATGGGTTAAAATAATGACACATCATCTTCCACATTCAAAAGAAAGCTTTAATTAGAAAGTTATATACACACTGTAAAATTAAATTAAACTTTATACAAATATTAAATTACTATCTTCACACCCACTGCCATGTACAGAGGAAGAAACCAAAGCTGAAAGCATTGAAACTAAGAATCAAGATGTGTACTTTTTTATTTTTCAGGGAAGCAACACCGTACAACAGTGCTTCTGAACGCAAAATTCATTTTCAGGTTTTTTTTCTTTTCAATCCCATAATATTTGAATGCCTTGTAGCAAAAGAGAAGCAAAGGAATAGTGAAATATAGGTGCTTATAGGTTCATCATCATCGTCGTCATCATCAGGGGGAGGACAGAGAAGGATGGACATTCGTTTAGTCGTGTCCACAACAAAAGTAAACTCATTGATAAATACACAAAGACAGTTTTATGCATAGAATAGAAAAGAACAGAGTAAGGCCATTGGGAAAACAGAACACGTTGCAATACTGTAAAGCAACCAACGCGGAGGCTTAAGATTATACATCCAAAAAAAAAAGAAAGAAAATGTACAAGTCTAAGGCAACATTCTGTTTGCATTAATAATGTAGCCGTTGACAATGACAGGCAGCCACAAATACCGAAATAAAACTGAGAACAGAAATCCAATAGGGTTATTCTGTTTTTCTTTTCTTTTTTCAGAGCAGTTAAGCTTGAAAAGTAATTCTCAGGATCCTTCGGAGTCATGCTGTTTCCAGGGTGACCAGCTCAACCACCAAAAGCTTTTCAAGTGGCAATGAAAACGGAGGATGATTTCTCACAAAATACAACGATTCTCTTTTAAATTTGCACTTGGCATTAGGAGGGGGAGTGAGTGTGTGTGTGTGTGTGTGTGTGTGGCGGGGGTGGGGTGCTATATAACAAAACTTTATCATTTCACTGCAACCAGTTGCAGTTGGGTCAATAATGCACAAAAGTGGAGAGTCTTCGGTACAGTGTGAAGGTGGTCGAGAGCCAGTTCCTCTAAGGAGACTTGTGTTTTCCAGCCATTCAGCAGAAAATGATAAATATTCTAGCTTGAGAGGAGATGAATAATACACGCATTGTGTAGTGGACTCGTTGCCTGAAGTGACGCTGGTTTGTTCATGTGACTTATTCAGTGCTGGGAGGGATATTTTCCTATGGTGCAAGACAGGGACATTGTGAAGCCGGTCTCTGATCCGAAGAGAGGCAAATCAGTGATAGTGGCTGTGTGGAGGCCGACCACATGAAGATATGTCATCTCCTGCCAAGCTGACACACAAAGACGCACACACACTCACACACACACACACAGACACACACACACACACAGACACACATGCACTCAGATTCAGCAACTCAAAGCCACACACCAAACAATAAATACAGTGTGGAAAAAATTAAAACAACCTTAAAATTCAGTCATGTGCCCAGTCACCATGTTGAAAGACAACCCCCCTCCTCTTACAGCTAAGATGTATAGCACATTTCTGGAACAGAAACACCGATCAAATCCCACTGATGCGACAGAAGGAGCACCTTTCAGATACTGGGTGCAGCTGGCAACAGAAAAAAAAGAAAGGAGCAGGTCTTTTTATAGTTGTGATACGGTGCTTCGTAAAACGCTGCACCCTGCTTTTAGCTCGTGTGAAGTGGTTCTCAATCCCACTAATCCATATGCTCGACGCCACCCGGATACACAGATAGCTAGAGAGAGAGAGAGTAAGAGAGAGAGAGACAGAGGAGGCTTCATGCTTCATTCAGAGTGGGCCACCGTGCTGTGACAGCAATAACTAAAAACAACATGCAGCATTCACAAAGCGGGCTGCAAAAAACCCAGCCGTCACTCACAACTTTTCAAGTACAGTGGGAAGACGATTCTGATTCCGAGCGCCACAGCGTCAGGAGCAAACATCACAAGTTATTTATTCTTTTTTTTTTAATCAGAAGTAATCCCAAACAGAGTCGACGTGTTGCTATAGCCTTCTCCGATGAAGCCTCTGTGAGCCATGTTAATATAGAGAACTACACCTGGGAGGAGGCAAGTGTATAGCAATACATAGCCTATAGTACACAGCCTTGACTCAGTACGTATGTTTTACTCATATACATAGGATCTACAGGATTTATGTTGAGCTGGCACCACTTTGTTTGTCTGGCTTGTCTTTAGTTTGATCCGGTAGCTGGCTCCAGTGGTGCTCCATCATTGCTTATGATGCAGTGAGTATTGGTTGTTGGCTTTGCTCTGCATGGATAGTAATGGCAGAAGAGGTTGCATGGGGAATGGGCGTAGTTCTAGTCTCTTCTCTGCTGGCTGCTGAGGGGAGTCGGGGGGGAAGTAGGTTGACAGTCACAGTCAGTCCTGGTCAGCAGTGAGAGATAGGGAAAGAGGGGCTCTGCTGCTGATGCTGATAGCAGGCTGGCAGGCTTCATGCTTCCTTCAACAGGGGAATATCTGCAGGGGAACAGAACAGATATATCAGAGTAGAGCAGGGGCTCTAGAGTCAGCTGTCTACCCGCCACAAAGTCATGCAGTCCATTACGTCACCAAAAACATTTCAATGCAACAAGATGTCCTGTTTGTTTAGGTCACAATATGTACCTATTGTCTACTGCACACATTCTTACTGAGATCTGAACAAATAAAACAACAGGTTGTATTTAACAGGCTCCTAATTGGCTATTTGTAAAGCTAACCTCCACAAAATCTGTAGCGTCTGGAGATTTCTCACTGTTTTGAAATGTTTAGGTGAAATTATTCAAATGTGTTATTTTATGGTTAATTCTGAAAGTAATCCAATACAGAGAGTGAGAGCTTTTAATTTAACCTGCTTTTACTAAATGTCTTGAGCAGTACCTGAGTCTATACGGCAAATAACACTGAAAATGGGGTGACATTTCTATTACAAAGTATTGATTATGTTGGCCAATTAAATTACTCGACAGGTGTTTTGTGTCTTCCCTAGTCTACTTTGTCTGCCTTGCTATTGGAGCTAGACATATAGATCCACAGATATTTACTCGCTGCATACTGTGTATGTCAGCAAACTTTATTTTTCAACCTTGGTTATAATTCTTTACATTAACAGTTAATGGATTCCTAACAAAAATGGTGTGTGGTATGTGTTTATCGGGTTCGCCATGATAAGGCAAATGTGTGAAATAACATGGACTGCTTTCTCTTACCATCAGAAAACTCATCCGTAGAGGTGACAGAAAGCAGACTGTGCTGGTCGCTACTCTCAGAGTCTCTACGGAGCGGTAGGGGGCCTGCGCATGCACCCCCAGGGTGCTCTCTAGCCCATGATGATGAAGAAGAGGAAGAGGGGGCCTGATGAACCAGCACCGTCTCTGCATGACGGCGGGAGGAGAAGGATGATGACGAGGACGTGGATGGGAGACAGAAGTCTAAGTCTCTGTGGTGGCGGGTTCTGCTGGGGCCTTGGCCTCCTGTGGCTCCCTGAGGAAGGCCCTCAGAGAGTACGATCGGGACTCGAGACTCTGGAGGAGCTGGCGGAGGTGGTGGTGAAGGAGGAGGACCAGAAGCACCACAGGGTCCACTGCTTCCATATACAGCCTCTTCGTAGGAGGGCAGCGTCACCTGGACACCCTCCACCATGATGGAGCTGGGCTGGCCTGACACTCCCTGCTCCCTCCTGATGGACGGAGAGACAGAGTGAGGCTGACAGAAATACAGGTGAGGACAAGGTGGATCACGACACCAGGCTCAGGTTGATGAAGGCATGATGCAGTCATGTGTGTTGCGTGCCACAGCAGAACCTCTGAGAAGAGGTGATTAGCGTTGACTGTACAATCCCTTTATAGCAGGCTGCACTAAGCCCTCAGGCCCACCACACAATCAACAAGAGTGCCAATGAGCATTAGATCAAATCATGCTGGCCTTTTTATCAGAGCCACAGCAGAGGCGTTTAGACTGTGATAGGATTAATTCCTTTTTCGTAGTTTTACTTTCATTTTATCAAGTATTTAAGAGATGCAAACTTGTAAAACTAGTTGCTAGGTCTGGTGCATCTCACGTAGACAACTTGTTTATGTAACTTGTTTCAACCAAAACATGAATTAATCATAGGTGTGTCCAAGGGAAGGATTCATAGCAAATCAGTTTCTTCCAAAGCAAACAGAACTACAGCTTTTAAGAGTTTCTGCCAACCACAGTTTGTATAAGAAGTGGAAGGCTCACCCTCGAGTAAAGCCAAGAAGAAAACGAAATGCATGACACTTTATTGACCTATTTTATTTATGTGATCCGGGGAAGAACTTTACAATGGAGTCCATTAAAGCAAGCACCAGAGGATCAGAGCATCTCACAGAAAATACTCTATTTCAAACAATGCAATTCTGTAGACAGGTCATTGAACAGCTCGAAATGTATGCACAAAGTGCAACTCAAAGCTTTTTACACTTCAAATGTTGCGGTACCACATTGTAACTCTATGATATACATGGCAACTAAGTCTTATCAAAACAGAACTGACAAAACAACCAAAGTAGTTTTCATAAACAGCAGCACTAATAACTGTTAGCATGAGATAGAGAACAATTATGTCAGCACAAGTTCTTATGCCAAGGGATCATCAATTAATTAATCTGACTCGTATGTGTTTATCTTACCTGCTGTGATGGAAGGACTTGAGTTTGGGCTGTACGAGAACAAACAGCACCACTAAAAGCAGGATGAGTGCCACAGAACTAGCCGTGGATGCCACAATAGACAGAGCTGGTATACCCAGCGGAGAGCTTGGCTCCTTGTCTGAGGGACACAAGGAGACAGAGAGGAAGTGAAGATGTGGTTCACAGATGGTTGTGATATTAAACATGTAAGTAAAATTGTGTTGAGGTGACTGACCTTGTGTGAGTCGGCAGCTTATCTGCATGGGACCGTCCCACTCGCCGTTCTGGCAGGTGAGGAACTTGTAGTCGCCCTTCAGAGCGTAGCCCTCGTCGCAGAAGTACTCGATGACGGTCTTCTGGGTGAGGCGGTGGCAGGGAGACGGGTGACAGCGGTAGCCCCCGTTCTCTGGTTCAGTGGGGGGCGAACACACTGGGAAGAGGCAATAGAAACTTTAACAATCGTGGCTGTTGTTGTGTACCTGAAAATGTGTTTGGCATTATTTAGGTTAAGTGCAAATGAGCTGACATTTGATGATCATTCTAGCTATAATAAGGGTTTTTGTTTCAGACTGGAAAGAACCGTGTTGCATGTATGATTTTTGAGTCTTGCTCACCGTTGCTTCTGATGCAGCTTGGAGGTTGATGGGACCAGGCTCCAGAGCTGGTACAAATGATGCTGGTGGGTCCATCTGCAGTGTAGCCAGGCCCACAGCCATAAGTCAGGAGGGTGCCCGGGGGAAAAGAGCCCCGGTTAGCTTCGGTCTGGTTCAGCAGTTCTCCGTGCTGCACGCCGGGTGGCCGTGCACAACCTAGAGACACAGGAACAAGTGAAGAGAATAAGAATTACTTGGCTGGGTTGAGGCTTAAATGATAGAAACCCGTGAGGTTTTGCTTTCTGAATGTGGAGCTTCTTCCTCCGGCTCTAAACTGGATATATGATAATTTACTGCTTATGTCAGGAACTACCAGCTTCAGGCCAGCAGCCAGATCCTGAACCATATTATAATAATGTACGGTCATGAGGTAATTATAAGGTATGCGAGTTAACTTAGTAGAGTTAGAAAGTGCCTGTAGACAGGATATGTAGCGTCTTAATTTTCAATTTATGAAGGGATTACCATGTATTACAAGCCTTCTGGGGAAAAAGGACAATTTGTCTCACATGTGTCCGGGTTCTTCGTAGAATAATGTACCAACATTGTGTCAAATAAACAGAGTATTTCCATTAGTATATCTCTAATGGTGCTTGTTATGGCTGGCTCCATCACAGCCTAATAGAGAACCTTGATAATAGTTTTCCGGTGACTCTAAAATTTTAGTATTACATTAATGTGGCAGTGCTGGCACATTGTGCTGTTCTGTCATTACGCTGACATAAACTGTCGGCTGGGCTCCTCTGCAGGCAGCTGCCACTGGGTCAAACAACTTTTCACAGGGAAACTCTGTCAAGTTGACAGGCTGAGTTGATAATTAAAGCTCAGGAGGTATTGTTACTTGAAACTAGGCTGCGTTTTACACAGGCAAGGGAGAGGCACTGCATCAACATGATACGTTAGGTAAAGACAGGCATACTGTGCCGTACGGAGAATACCTGAAGTGCCTGCGGTGGATTAAAATGTCACAAAGGAGCTTCATATAGATCTAATTTCTCTCGATTATCTCCTGCTCATTAAACTGTCTTCACGCCAGCACTGGGTCTATCTGTCTGGCGGTGAGACGGGATCTTTAGCGAGCCTCATTTACTTGGCTCTAATGACAGACTTGAAGCTCTAAGCCAGCCAATAAAGACAGGATGAGGCAGAAGACCTGAAGTTAATTGTGCTTTGATCCACCTTCCCATGCTCCATCTATGATGTTGCAGTGCCACGCCAGCTCCTCGTGTCTGGGTATGTGTTTTATCGCAGTATGAGATTCAATTCTCTGAATCTGTGCTGCACTCCCACAGCTCTACACACTGTCCACACACACACACACACAATACACATACTGTTAATACACACACACACACATTTGGAGCTGCAATCTGGCGAGAGCAGAGCGTCTAAATCTAGCAGGTCTGACATAACAGTGCGACACTTGTGTAAACGGAGACATGAAAGCAGGAGGCTGACTTTACTTTCAGTATTATTGATCTTCAAGAATGGCCAAAGTATTGTGGAAACCATAGATACAGACATACCAATTTTATTACTACTGATCTGGCTCAGTGCTTGTGCAAAAATTTGAGCTTGGCTTCAATGGAAATGTTTCCAATACTAAACTCTTATCTGTTTGTTAAATGGAATTATACAACGCACAGTGATTTTTCTCAATAACACGACATAAGTTCATTTAAAACACCCCCACAATAAAGAACATTAATAACACAATCAACACTAATGGCCATATGGCTCATTATTTAATCCTTGGTCTGAGTGTAAAACATATTAGCCAGGGTCTACTGCAGGGCCTTATCACTTGCTTGACATAAACAAACACACCAACACTGCGAACAGCCACTTTGTCTTGCTCTGAGTGTGTTTGGAGATTGAAAGAGAGACTATTTCCACAGCAGTGCCTCTAACATCCTCTAATCTCCGGGGAGAAACGTCGCTCTAAGCTGGCAGCACAAGATTAAATGCAAACACTCAAATGTGCCAGTGCCTTCTCACCAATACACACAGACACACACACACAGAAACAAAGTCAACACTCGCAAACAAAGACACTCCCAGGACTAAGTCGTGTGATACCAAAGGGTGTGTTATGGAATTCAGCTGGGGACAAACTTAACACAGCGGGTAGATTATGAAACTGTATTGTACTGTACCTTTTAGATATTAAAGGTTGGTTCTAGCCTACACCATCTCTTTCTCTATCACAAGATGCTTTGTCATAGGGCTAAAACTATTATTTTCATTAATAATGAATCTGCTGATTACCTTCTTGATTCATTGATTTATTGTTTGTTCTATAAAAAAATCAGAAAGTAGTGAAAAAGGCCCAGAGGGAAATTTGAAATCATCAAATTTTGTTTAACCAAAAGTCCTTAATTATCACACCAGACAAAGAAAAGCAGAAATTCAAGTTTTTGCTTTAAAAATTACTGGAAAAAAACAACACTTATTTAAAATAGCTGCCAGATTCATTTGCTGTTTATCGACTGATCAATTAATCAATGTATCATTTAAGCTCTAATTAGCTGCTGCATGATCTTTGACAAGGAGACTGAATCAAGTACTTACATGCTTTGTCATTAAATCAAACATGCCATGTTAAATCATCCGTTTAAAAATGAAAATAAAGCAACTATTTTAATGAAAACCATACTGCAACAACACTGTACAGCACAGAATTCAACTTTGTATGATTCAGTGTCTTAGCTGTAGAGCTGCATTTGAAGTCCAAAGTACTGTATCGATCACCATGGACTCAGCCACAACAATGTCAGCTTAATGTCTCAGACAAAAAGCTGAAGGTTTGTTTAATATGATACCACATATGCAGAGTATGTGTGTCAAAGCAACAGTGATCTTTCTCACTCAAACACACCCGCACTCTTTCTCTCACACGCAGAAACACTATCTGCACAGCAGCCACATTTCAGGAGGCCATTCGACACCCTGACCTGAGCAGTTGTTCACTGAGCTGCTTCAGGGCGACTAAAGGCTCTCTGAGGAGGAGATGGTGCTAATGGAGGTGGTAAAGGTGATGAATTGATGACCCCGGGCTGGGAGGCAGCAGGGGACAAAAAGGCCGTAGGGGGCACTTTAGGACAATAGCCTGTAGCCAACAGCCACTATTATGATCCTTTGTGGAGCGTTGCAAGGCAGTCAATACCACTGCAGAAGACTGATGAGACGGTATTCACCATCTTTTGATTCTGAATTACTTTCTTATCTGCAGGATTGTCTGAGAAATAAAGGCATGTGCATACTTAAGTACTCATTTTCATATTAAAGGGTATTCAAGAGTATTTTACATACCAAATACTATGACATGTATTTAAAGCTGTGGACATTGCCAACACCTAAAAACTTCCACACAGAAGCAGTCAGTGATCAGAGTACACACTTTATGTTAACTGCTTCATAAAAGTAATGAGGAGGGAAACACTAAATAGACCAAAAAGTGAGCTTCAGTCAGAGGAACATGCAACATAATCTTTAACACGATCTTCATCAGTCGCAAGATTTAAATACAGAATGAGACAAGCTAGTTTTTCTTGTAGCTTTAAGCAAATCCCCTGTTGTTTATATTGTTAAATCTACAAGGATCGTCCCTGCATTAGCATGGGGTTAGTGGATACAGTGCAAAGAAATGCTTACAGTGTCAGGCTTAACCCATTCGAGGGTTAATTCTTATGGAGGGATCAGGTCACAGAGATCAGCAAAGTCAGGTCAGTCTAAACGAACCATGAAGCCAGTAAAATGTCCATTTTAAAACTCATGGTCGTTTAAGAAGCGCAACAAACCAGGTTCTCACTGTGTCAGGACAACCTTGTGCTGCCTGTACAAATCAGCCAGTTTTCCAAAGAGCACTGCAACTACTGCACTCACTCACGTTGGCTCTGTGGTTAGATGGCATTTAAAAGATCTGCTACAAGTCTTTACCTGCCATGAAACACACGCAGTCAGGTACATTATTGCAATATGTGGATGAACACAATGTACCAACATAACAATGCTGCTGATTGGACTGTATTAGCTGAGACACTAACAACAACATCGGAGTGATACTGATATATTTAAAAATAATATCAGTATCACTCCGGTGTTGTTGTTTATATATGTATATATATATA